AAATGTTGAGTTTAATGTCGACATGTCGGCTTTAAAGTCGACATGTCGAGTTTAATCTCGTCATGTCAAAAATATTTTTTCTCTTCATGTGTGGCCCTAATACTCCGTTGTAGAATTCTGACTTTTTTCCCATGTTAAACTGAAATAAAATTAAAAAATCACTTTACTTTTTTTTTTTTTTCAGTGGCCCTAATCCTCTTCCGTATATATGTGAAAAGAACAGCACAACCGAAAGACATGGTGCGAGACATACAATAAAGAAACATCTTGAAACTATCGCTAAAGTAGTATTGTAGTAATTTCAACGAATGCAACTTTATTTTAATATTTTAAAAAATCCCTCAATGGAAAAAACAATACATCTACAAAGTCGAAATACCCTAAAACCTGTATTTTAAAAAAAGTTCTTGTACAGGAGAAGCACGCTGCAGGTTTAACGTTTTTGGTTTCCTAACTGTCAGTGAAGGCACCACGGACAGAAGTTGAGGTGGATTTTTTTAGTTCATGTCCCTGAATGTAGCACCATCTTCACCCTCCTCCCTGCTTTGACGTCACCGGCGCCGTCTCCTCACATGCACCGAGGAGTGCGGCTCCCCCTCCCGCCCTCCTCTGCCCCAGCCTCTCCGCCTCAGCGCCCCGCCGTCAGACAGACACCGAGCCGCTCACCGTCCTGCTCCTGCCGCCGCTGCTGCCGCTGAGCGGAGTCTGCTCCTCCATCTGAGTCCCGGCCTCTTTTCTTCCACTTGCGTGGGTTGCTCCAAGGACCGGCCTTCGAGTTTTTTTTATTTTATTTTATTTTATTTATTTTTACTACGTGGTTGGAGGACATTATTATTTTGTCCACTCCTGCTGTCCTTCAAGTGAAATGGAGAAAATGGCCAGACCTCTTCCTTTAAACCCAACTTTCCTGCCGCCGACCCACGGCGTCCTGAAATCCCTGCTGGAAAACCCGCTCAAGCTGCCGTTTCACCGCGATGAAGGTGAGCTGTTGGAATATGTGCAAAACTTACTGCGCACACAGGTGCACACACCGCTTCTTGGCGCAACGCACACACGGACGTGTACAGTCAGGACATAGGTCAACCAAAACATGTAGAAGTTGGACCTCTTTATACTTTGCGATCTTTGTTAAAAATTAAACGCTCTAATCTAAATGGCCAGAGGAAGACAGAGATAGAGAAAAAGAAAGCTTCGTGTTTTGAGTTGAATGTTTATAACCAGCAGCTCGGACGTTAAATGAAGCTAAAAGACGTCAACAGGTGATTTAAAGGTGCAGTAATTTTGACATAAAACACATAAGAGCCCCGCTTTAACCGCTCTGTTGTTGTTACTGTGCTGTTTATAGCTTAGTAGTTCTGTTTATAACCTTTAAACCCTGCTGTCCTCAGTGGGACCTATTAGCAGTACCGCTGCCCGCCGACAGGGGGCGGTTATTTATTTTCCTAATTGGAAGCTTTTTGTGGGGATAATGTAAATGGATGTTAGTTTAACAGTTTCTAATAAAGTCTGGCCAGATATTAAATTACTAATTGCTTATGGTCAACAGGAGAAATTAGAAGATTTATTTAAAAATCCTAAACATCACATCCTTTAGGAGAAAAATAAACCTGCATGGGAAGCCTAATAAATTAGCATATCATTAATATTATTATTTTTTATATTGAGCTGAAGAGATGTGTTTCATATATAAATTATTTTTTTTTGGTGGGGGATTTAAATGGCCTCCAATGAAGACTGAATATTTACTACCAAATATGACTATACATCATACACATAAAATAAGTTTTTTTTAAATAAAGAGATGTTTTTTTAAGGCTATGTTGTGGATTATGATGGAAAACTTAGTGGAAGGAAAAAGTTTTAGGGATGCACGATATTGGGATTTTGGCCGATATCCGATATGCCGATATTTTAAAACTCATGTAGCCGATAACCAATATCGATACCGATGGACAAAAATAAGTAGTCATTGAAAATAGCAGTTTTGTTATCCATTTCTGACACTTTGAAAAATAATAAACTCAAATATATTTTCATATGCTGATATCAAATAGATTTTTAAAAACGCGGTATCGATCTATTTTACTTTCAAAATCTGGTGAAATTTCATCGTTCTGTTACAAACTCTCGTGATATTTTGCAAATTCTTGTGAGATTTTGTTAGTAAAATAGATCGATACCGCGTCAATATATCAACATATAAAAATATGGCAACATTTGGTGAATTTTCGGGGGATTTCGTAGCATAACGATGACATATAGCAATATTTCATTAGTAAAAGAGATTGATATGGTGTTTTTAAATGGCAATATATCAGCATATGAAGATATTGGGATATTTTAATGGATCAATATTTTTTCCCTCGTCTTTATAAGTTTTTAAGTCTGTAAAAAAGAAGTTTTTGAGGAAGAAGAAGAAGTAGTATTTATTTATTTTTTTTAGACTTTAGAAACTCAGAAGCTGATCAAATATCGGGTTAAATATCGGTGGGGTGGCCGATGTCCGATATTCAGTTTTAAGGCCGATACCGATAGGGGGCCGATTATATCGTGCATCCCTAAAAAGTTTGGTAGAAAAAGTTGCAAAGGAAACTCATGTTCAAGATTTTGGATATGATTTCATCTGGATTCTGAGTTTCATGAACCGCCATACGTCAACTGTAATACCTGCGGAATGAGACAACATCAGAAGAATCCAGGAGGACGAGGGATAGATTCAACGACCTATTGTCTAGAGGGAGGTGAGAGATCATTTACGAGTGGTTAAGCGGCTCCGCCCTCATTCCACACCACAGGGATGCAGATTATTCTCCAAACCAAGCATCGAATCCACAGAACTAACCAACTTTTATCAGCTATATTAATAGAAGCAGAAACCTGAAATAATTCAGCAGATTCCCAGTTTGATTTATGAAGCTGCACCTGCGCTTCCCACCGGATCCATTTGCATTTACTGCTCAGACTACAAGTGAAATAACTCCCTCCAGCCGCAGCACTAGTTTGCCTTCTAGTTTTGCTCATTGCTTGCATCAAACTGCACAGTCCAAACATCAAACCACAGGATCCAGAAACATTTAGGGCTGAAATGAGGACAGTGAGTTTATGTATAACTTAGAACTTGTGACCCAGCAGCAACAGCAGCCTTTTTAACGTGGAACCAACGTCACGCCTCACAGTTGCAGGTCAGGAGACCAGCGGGGTCGGACCCGATTCTGCTGCCAACGGAAGCTGATGACTTCCTGTCTTCCTGACAGAAACGCGTTGGGGGGGTTCCTACAGACCACTGAAAGCAAAGAAATGTTGACAATCGGAGGAGAACATGATGACAAGTCTGACAGAAATTATAGATTTTCCTTTGAGATGAAGCGCTTACTCTCCGTTAGCCATCGTTATTTTTGATTTAGAGCTGAAACAATTTATCAGATTAATTAACTTTTAAAATAATCGTCAAATAATTTAGAAACCGGTTAATCGTTAACTGGAATATAGAGACTAAAATGTATCTTTGGCTGACAGAGCGTCCTACCTTAAGCAGCAATTCTACCAAAATTTTGCAATTAAGATAAAAAATTATCTTTTTTAATCTCTGGATCTGCTCTGTCCAGAACTCCTCAAAAGGAAAACTTTCACCTGATTTAGTTTCCTAAAAAGTCGTCTTTAAGAAACTTTTGTCTATCCGACTATTAATCAATTAATCAAAAAATTATTCGGCAGATTAATCAATTTGCAAAATAATCCTTTACAGACTAGATTGATTAGATAATTAATAGGCCTGTAAACAGAAGACAGTTTTACTGGATGACAAAGTGTCCAAGAAGCATTATTGATAAAGTTTACTTTTTTTCAACATATAATGACGATAGGGAAATAATAAAAGCGCATCCTCTCATCTATTAATTAATTAACTTTTGTTTCTAAAGAAAACTTAAAATCCAGAATAAATAAAATTGACTCTCAGTCTTTGTTAAACAAAAAGTGCAAATCTGTTAAAAACCAAAAAGAACTAAATTCAATAAAAAAGTAATTAAAAGGCCCCCCCAAAAATGTTCATCTCCTTAAAGATATTGTTCGCGAATTTTTAAAAAACTTAAACCAAAAAAAAAAATGCACATGCACAACCCTGTAAAGCTCCTGAGAAAGAATGCCCATAAACCGCGTGCGAGAGCGTGCGTCGTTCGTACAGATGATCACTGCTTTTTGATTGGTCACATAACTCCTCCTACACCGTGCGGCGCCTGCGCCATCTTTGTTATTAGTCGCCGCTGTCGGGTAGCGACGGCCTGTGGCGGGCCGCTGTGACAGCAAATCCCATAATGCTTTGCGTGGAGAGCTCTCCGTGCAAAGCATTATGGGATATATCTGCCTCTTCTGAGGCCTTTCTTTTCTTCTCTAACACTTCTTAGACACATTTTCTGTTACGACCCTCGGCCATTTATAAAAATTTTAAGATAAACTTCAATGACTGTTTGAAATCGTAGCTCACCACATATATACACCTGAAACTGCTCACGCACAGAAAAATATAGCTAACGGGACGAGCACGTAGGACGGCCTTACATAAACATATCACCAGAATGATTGACAGTTAGGAGGACCACTTATTTTGATGATCCACCCTCAAATAAAAGATCGTCCTCTATACCTTTAAGTATGATGCCATTTGCACGCTTTAGTACCTGTGGAATTGCCAGGTTTTAAACCGGTATGTTTTCTATGAAAATTCCCATTAAATAACATTTTCTAGAATTCTTTTCAGCTAAATTAACATGAAATTATTTTTGTTTCACTATTGTTTGAAGCAAAAACATGTTTTGTAAATGGAAATTTATATTTTTTTTAAATCCAAGAATCAAAAAAAAAAAAAATCTTAATCAGCAAAAGGTTTGGAGATTAACTTCGCTGTCTTTTCATATTTCATTTTTTTTTTCAAATTTCATATTTTTTTCAAATATTATTAATTTCTCTTTCAGACTGAGTTTAACATATAGCTTTATTAATGCGTTTTACGGATCACATTGACTTCAACGCTCTTTCTTGACCAATTAAAAACATTTTGCTAATGTGAATTGGACCAATAGAAATACGTCTTCACTTCTCACTCCAAAGGAAAGCCCGCCCCCAGAGGAGAAGAGAAGGTGATCTGTAAAATCCAATTTCGAAGGAATGATATATGTAAAGGTTCAACCGAAAAAGAGATTTGTGAACGAAAAATAAATAAAACTGTGTATATGAATTTATATGAAAAAAAATAATCATAAATATCAGAGAAAACAGAAAAGTTACTCTTAAAACCTTTTTTTAAGACATAAATGGGTTCTTTTTGGCACCAATAATGGAAAAAAATTAACTTCATAAAGTGAAAAGCTTAAGCAAACTATGGTGGCTGTTAGGGCCAAACTTACTGACCCTTTTTTTTATTAAAACAAAGCAGAAGTAGGGAAAAATAAACAAGCATTCAAATGCAAAATTAGCTCATTTAAAATGTTCCTGCAAATAATTTACAATTCAAATAGTTTTAGTTTTATTGTTTGTTACAGACCTACTGAGACATGTTTCTATTTTTATTTTTTTTAGATTGAGACGTGTGTAATATTTGTTATTGTTCCATCATTCTTATCCCAGTAATGGGATACTGCCTTCATGGGTAGATCACCGGTTCTTTCTTCATGCTGGGTTTCTGATTTTGATCTTTCTGAACTGAAGCAGACTTATTTACTTTGCTCCAACTTTTACCAGGAAGGTAAACAAAAAATCAGCTTATGATTATCTGTCAATTAATGGTTTATTTGATTATATATTTTCCATCTGGTTAACTGATAATATTCGCTTGGAAGGAATTTCTTTTGGTGTTGTAATGTTACTGCCGTCCACTAGAGGGCCGGTACACTGTAGCCTCAGAATCAGAAATACTTTAATAATCTCCGAGGGAAATTACTTAATAATCAATAATAAAAAATATCAATAATCAATTGTATTTTAAAGAAAAATAACAGTAAATTCTTAACATAAACTGATCTAGAGGCTGACCAGGACCATTTGCGCCATTTAATGCCGACAAGGAGGCAGGATGAACTTTTTGTGGTTCTGTTCTTAAAAATAAACACTTGGTGAACTCCTTTAAATTGCCACCTTAAGTCGGGCATACATTCTGCCATATTTTCCGTCGTTGCACGCAGCTACAGCTCAAACTGTACGACAGAATTTCAAACATTTATTTTTTTTCCGACCTTACGATTCCTGATCGGGAGGCGGCATTGAGAGGCTAATCACCCCTCGTTACCCCCTGTATACGACACGAAGCAAGACGAGCGATGAGGCTGATAGTCCGCCCCATCAAACATTTTCGGGCGACTGGAGAATCGCCCTGAAAAGGGCAAAAAAATTGTACGCCGTATGCCCGGCTTTAATAGCGCCCATTTAGTTGTGCTGCACAGTAGAGCAGCTTAACCTCTCTGCTGAGCTCAGAGGTGAGGATTCCATAATAAAAACATGGAGGGTTTTACATGCCAGCTACTAGCACTGTACATGGGCAAGACTACATGAGATAAAACACTTAATAGAGTAACATTCTTCTGTAACAGAACCAGAACCATCTGTTTAAAAGTGTTGCTAACAGCACAAAAAAAAAGTTGGCGTCCCCTTCTTTATAACAAAGCGGCAAATGGTCTGCAGGGNGCTACTAGCACTGTACATGGGCAAGACTACATGAGATAAAACACTTAATAGAGTAACATTCTTCTGTAACAGAACCAGAACCATCTGTTTAAAAGTGTTGCTAACAGCACAAAAAAAAAGTTGGCGTCCCCTTCTTTATAACAAAGCGGCAAATGGTCTGCAGGGCTCGATGTTAACCATCGCCGATCTCCCGGGGCAAGTAGTTTATTATTGTCGGGAGAGTACAAATTTCATTGCATTTGCCCCTCGAGTAAGTGCAATGATCGCAAAAAAAAAAAAAATTTATCACTCAAAATTACTTTAAAATCACCGACATTCGCTGAAAACGACCCACAAGCGTTGCCGGCGCCATTTTTGTTGTTTTGTTGTTTTGTTGTGTGATTCAGCTCTTGGGGAGAGAATTCTGCAGAGCAGCAGCTGGATGATGAATTTAATCTATACTATAATACACACTAGATTAAAAACGATCAGTCAGGGATTAGGAAAATAATAATAACTATATGCACACAGTGTAAATATTTCTATACAGTGGTCATACATTAAAAAATGATCATTAAATGTTTTTCTCTTAGACATTGGAGTGGTGCATTTAAATGTTACAGAGCTAAACATGTTAAATTGGTGAGTAGTAGTAGTGTAAGTTTTAACATTAAA